ATCAGTTTCATCATTCAGCTTTCTCAGCTGGCACAAAAACAGCTGCCCGGAATCTTCTGGAATGGGCAGCCATCCTACATTTAATTTATTTATTATTAAGTTTGCTTAGCTATCTGAGTGGCTGAAATTTATTGAAGTTACCAAATATTGCAAGGCTTCGGCAGTTTGACCCTATGATAGCTCATAAGGGCTTGCATGAAACTCAGTTTGAAGGTGCTATATACGAAAGCGATCAATAATAAATACGTGGGAAGCGATGCTATCATTTTAATTGTTTTTAAACAATTATTTATACGTGAGGGTCCGTAGATACCATTTAGAGGCAATATATTTCTGATCATTGGACTAGTAGATCTGGGTGTAAGAATGGAGTGGTAACTTAAGGAGATGTGTGTGTGTGTGTGTGTGTGTGTGTTTAGAGAGAGAGAGAGACTATTTGCTTTTTTTTTTCAAAGAACATCAAATATTTCACACATAAAGTATTGGCAATTTCATTTAAGTACTGCTTCCCCAGACATATGTTTTAAGTGGTAGCCTTGAGGTATAATCCAGTGCATATAAATTTGAAAGTAATTCCATTGCAGCTTCAGTTGGCAAAGGACAGTTAATTGATTATAGGTGGTCATTATATTTTCTGCAGATTCATTTTGCATCATCTTCCATCAGCAAATTCTAGGAATTGCAGTTTAATGGGACATTAGCTACATACCGTGAAACAGGCCATGCTTTGGTTCACAATCTAATCTAGAAAAAGACAGACTATGCCTCTTAATAAATAACTGTAGAGTATTTTTTTTTCACTAGATGGTAGCGGTTTTTCTGTATGGTATCCATTCCACATGGGAACAAAAGTGTTTAGTGTTCTTTTTTTTAAAAAAAATATCGAATAGGTTTTTTTCGACAGAATTAAAAACAGGACAAATTTTAAATGAAAGAAAAATAAAAAAAATAAAAAAAAGTTAAAAAGATACATAGAAAAAGAAATCTAGAAAGAATGGAATGGAACGGTTTTCAATCTTGACAGCAGTTATAGTTACACTTATATTTTGCCTCCTCTCTCTAAGATTATATCTCAATGTCTTTCTTTCTTCCCATAAGCTACGCTCTCCAATCCTCAAATGTGTTCATCACAAATTCCTGTTTATCTTCTTTTCTTTTCAGCCAAAAGTTCATAAAGGTCCAGCCAGTAACAAATGTAGTCATTGATCTTTCTCCAATTAAATAAGTTAATTTTGGCATTTGTTAGCGTCACCAACCACTCCTCTAGTTGTGGGCATTTCTGAGTCTTTCCATTTTTGCACATATACTAATACTTTTGCCCCAGTAACCATAGATAAAAATAATCTCCCAGCACTCTGGGAGTTTCTAATGAACTGTCGATTAAAAAGTGTGTAGGTGTGTGTAGGTATTTTCTAAGTACCTGAGAACGTCTCTCGATAATTTTGAAACTTTGCGTATGCTAAAAACTGTACAAGTGAGTGATACTATTTTGCTCCCCCTGCATTTCAATGACTGGATAGAGGGGTTTTTTTTTATACTCAGCTCCAAAAGGAAAATAAAGTGTATGTAAGAAGTAGTTTCTGAGACCATAGGGATGGTGATCAGAAACTTAATTAGTTGGAAACAATCGTCCCTTCTCAGTTGAAAGAACTTTTGTTCTCCAAAATAAAAAAAACCGTTCTGGATGAATATATAAGGACACCATTAGCATCTTCTCACATATCCCAAGTCTCAAACTTTGGGTGAATTCCTAATTTGTAACTTGTTATAAGTCAGAGACTGCAAATTCAGTCTTTGTTAGAATGAGGATCCTAAGCTATAATGTGATAATATTTCACATACTTCTTTAAACATCTTGTTTCTTTTTTTCCCCCTGTTCTTTATTCCTTTTCTTAGTCTGTCTCCACAATCTTTCACCTTTTAGAAACAATAGTTTTAAAAGGATGCAACTAGAGAACTATTTTTCAAATAGGCAAGACCATTCATTACTTGAAAACTATCATTGGTTTTTGGTAATCCGGAATGTGTTGCAACTGATTTGGGGAGATACTTCCAACATTAATGGAAGGTTTGTGGTTGAGGACAGATGGTGTCGGGTGCCAGAACTTGGGAACCAGGGTTGTTCAAATGAGTGCAAGTTTATTTCATGTCATCTCTGGACAAGAAACTGAACTACTGACAGTCAAGGGAAATTGGTGGTGGATAAGAGTCAATGGAATTCAAGGGGGCTGGATTTATAACTCTTGTGGGCGCAAAAGGATTCCAAACTAATGACCTACTTGACCCCTCCCTCTGGGCTCAGCCTGATCATGTTCTATTTCTGGGCAGGGCAAATATTTGTAAGGTTTTTCTTGGTCTTCTCAAAATCATGTTTACTGCTGGTTTATAGCTATTAATTTTTGCATTGTCATTACCTTCCCCCATTATTGTTGCTTTTTTTTTAATCAAGACAAAGTTACGAATAGGAACACCACATGGATCAATAAGTTCCTTGTTAGATTAACTCAAGGTCAGCCATCTTCATTTAAAAGGATTAGGAATTAGCCATAAGGAAACCTCTAGCAGATGGAGTAGATTAGTTTTCTAGTACTCTACCTATCTTAATTTTTTTTAAAGAAAAACTTGTTAATTTTTTGTTTTAACAAATGGAAACACAGCACCACTCTGGTGCATAATTTATGGGGTTTATGGTTTTTATGCTATAGTTTTTAATGTTGTAAGTTGCCCAGGATCATCTGGGTGGGAGTTGGACAGCCATATATTTGATAAAGAAATAAATAATTTCTATTGGTGAGAATTCCTCTGGTCTCCACCAATCCCCTCTAAGCATTCTTAGAACACAGAAATGATGGAATTAGTAGACCAATAGCTATATCCATGTGTGCCAATCTACCAGAAATGTAATTGGGATTGTAGAGAGTATCTGGAGTGGTCCAGAAAACATAGAAGGAGCTGTTATAAAGCGATTCATTGTGATTTTATTCTATTGTGGTTGCTATTTGGGGAAAGTGCCTGTGACATGACCTCAACATTCCAAATACACCTGGTTACCCAGAAAGGGTTCTATCCTGGCTTACATAGATATCCAGTCAAACCTGGTCTTCTGTAGCCTTGAAGTTGATCATAGTTCAAGTCAAGCAACAAATGGACAGCCATTTGTCTGAAATGGTATAGGGTTTCCTGCTTGAGCAGGAGGGTGGACTAGAAGATCTCCAAGATCCCTTCCACCTCTGCTATTTTATTCCATTCCATTCCATTCTATCCTATCCCATCTTCTATCCTAGCCTATCCTACTCTATCCTGTAATTCTATTCTATTCTATTCTATTCTATTCCCATTCCATATTCTATTCCCATTCCATATTCCATTCCCATTCCATATTCTATTCTATTCCATATTCTATTCTATTCCATATTCTATTCCATATTATTCTATTCTATTCTATTCCCATTCCATATTCTATTCTATTCCATATTCTGTTCTATTCCATATTCTATTCCATATTATTCTATTCTATTCTTACTCTATTCTATTCTATTCTATTCTATTCTATTCTATTCCCATTCCATATTCTATTCCCATTCCATATTCTATTCTATTCCATATTCTATTCTATTCTATTCTATTCTATTCTATTCTATTCTATTCTATTCTATTCTATTATTCTATTCCATATTCTATTCCCATTCCATATTCTAGTCCATATTCTAGTCCATATTCTATTCTATTCTATTCTATTTGATTCTATCCCATTTCAATATGTAACCCTAAACAGAGGGTTCCATAGTGAAATTCAGGAACTGTCATTTCAATAAAGGAGAATATTGGTAGCTCAGGATTGAAATGAAGGGTCCTTGGTGCTCTTTGAGTTTGGTGGTTTTCTTGCAGACATCGCATTACCCAACTAGGGAACATCATCAGTGCTACTGTTGACTAGCACTGATGATGTTACTAGTTTGGGTATAGAAATGTCTGCAAGAAAACCAATTTCAGAGAGCACCAAGGGCTGTCATTTCAGTTTAGGTGTTCTGCTTTCCTGAGCTTAGTCTAGTAGTTAGAGCTTTGGGACATAAATATATCTTAACAAAACACAGTTCCTCAGTTTGCCAAAGGCAGCAGCCACCAAGGTTTAAAACATAAAAGATTGGCTTAAAGATGATGTGGATTTCAGGTGCCCTGCCCTTCATGAAGGCGCTCTCGTTAATTTGCAGGCAAAGGCCTTGCGTCAATTAGCTGGGGTAAAAAAAAGCAAAGAGAGTGCACTTTAATTAATATTTTAATCCCAACCTTAGCAGCCTTCCTGCCAACTCAGCAAGGCTGCGTGTTCTGTTTGCCGTCCTTGCGATTCAGCCAGGCTGACAGTTGTCACCTACTTCCAGGGGAAAGAAAGGGGAAAAAAAAAATCCCACTTGTAAAACGAGCACAGAAAAAAAATAAAAAATTAGCAACTGTCACCGTGTCACTGAAAAGTTTTAATCAGGGCTGTCATGTAGCAGTTTTTCTGCCGGCAAATACAAAAGGACCTTTCAGGCCATATCATTTGCTCAGACTTTGCCAGCATGGAGAATGTAAATTGAGGAGTCAGCTTGCTAGCCGAAGAGTCTGGGAGATGGAGAATCAACCTGGTTCCATGCTGGTTTCCTCTCTCTCTCTTGCAGGTAAATCGCTTGGCGAGTTGTGGCCTGTCCCCCGCCCATCCCACGCGGCAGCCATGAAGCTTCGCCTCCTCACAGCTTACGCACTGCTGCTGGCCATCTGCCAATGCTGGGCTGTCAGCTTTCCAGAAGATGACGACCCTATTAACGTGGTTGACTACCATTGTAAGTGAGCAGCAAAGCCAAACGCGTTGTGAGATTGCCGATTTGTTTTCTTCCACCTTGCCCCGGATGACAGCAATTCTTCCTTCTGTTAGCTGCCAAGTTTCAGGTGGACTTTAATGGACTCTATCTATCTACTGCCAGCCAAAAAGGCAGGGGGAAGTGCAAGTTTTATTTATATTTTTGAGTTCATTGGCTCTCGCTGACCATCTTTTATTCATTGATATTCAAGACATTCCACAAAGAATTTAGTTTAAGCCCTTGTGCTCCCGGTATATACAGCTAATCAATGCTGCTTATTGATTCTTCAGTTCCATCATCCTGAGTGATGGCATAACTTATTTTTACTTGCAGATTCCAAGCAATATCCAGTGTTTAGAGGACGCCCTTCAGGCAACGAATCCCAACACAAGCTGGACTTTCAACTGATGTTGAAAATTCGAGACACACTTTATATAGCTGGCAGGTAATTTTCCTGCAGTCCACTGATTAAATTAAAATTCCCCACTCCTCCTCCCACCCCCTCCATCTGCTGCCTGGTTTTGCATTTCATCTATACACTTTGTCTTAAAATAATCCACTAGATAATTTCAGGAAAGGAAGGAGGGAATCAGCCCATGGAGACAAGACAAGGGAGGGTGATTTATGGTATGGAAGAAAAGCTGTGATAGTGATCCATGCAATTCCAGATTTTGTTTTCCACCAAGAACTTAATTTGGACAGACAGTTGTGCGTACCAATCAATACAAGAGCTTGGGCAGCCTGAATCTCACAAAAAGTTTGGCACCTAAAGACTAGGTCATACATGTGCTAAACCATGGGTTACTTGTATGTTTTACGACACAAGCCATCATTAATTCAGTTTCTATAATATGCTAAGCCACAAAACAGGGCTTCTCCAACTCTCTCAACCACTGCGGTTTTTGCTTACTTCTGAGTTTGTGGCTCAAGCCCCAACAGGCTGAGAGTTGTATTTCTAGTGAGCGGAGTTGGTATAAAGATAGCTTACAAAGATAGAGGGAAGCAAATGCAGATTAAAGTAATCTATCAGAAGGAAACTAGATCCTGTGTTCTGAGGGACAATGACCTCAAAGGCCAATAAGAGGCATCAACAGCCTAGGATGACTTTTGCCACCAGAGGCAGGAACAATCTTTGTTGTCTCCCATGTGTCCTTCCTCAAAGTAAGACATAGATATGGTTGCTCCCATCATAACATCGATTGAACAGGCCAATTCCTCTTTACCCCTTCTTTATTTCTTCTGACCCTGCATATGATTGTTGATGGTTCTGCAACAGCAATAGCATTTAGACTTATATTCCACTTCACAATGCTTTATAGCCGTCTCTAAGCAGTTTAGAGTCAGTATATTGCCCCCAACAATCTGGGTCTTTACCGACCTCGGAAGGATGGAAGGCTGAGTCAAACTTGAGCCAGTGAGAATCGAACTGCTGGCAGCCGGCAGTCAGCAGAAGTAGCCTGCAGTACTGCATTCTAACCACTGCGCCACCGTGGCTCTTAACCACCATATCAGCTCAACCAAAGTCTCCCTAATTTGGCTTGTTTCAAACTTTGATCTGGGGAAAATGAACAGTCCTAATTAAGAACAGATGTCTGCTTCTTTTAGTAATGGTATGGAGGGACTGTGTGAGGCCAAAAGGATCTTGATATTTAAAGTCAAAGCATGGTTTCTAAAGCGGGCTGGGGAATGGGATGTTCTACTTTTATTCTTTTAAATGTATTTATTTGTTAGGTTTTTAATGCCAGAAGCCACCCAGAGTCATTTGCTATGACATGGGCAGATAATAAATAAAAATCAGTTAATCAATCAATAGGATTTCTGATATGTTTCTTTTTTTTTTTTTTCTTCCAGGGACCAAGTTTATACGGTAAATTTGAATGACATTCCAAAAGGGGAAGTTGTTCCAAGCAAGGTTAGAAAATGCTGTAAATTCCTTTTTGTGTTTCTTTCTTTCTTTCTTTTTTTTTTTTTGAAAAAAAACCAAACATTCTTGGTTAAAGATGAAATAGTCTTATTCTTTCTTTTATCTCAACAGAAGTTAACATGGCGGTCAAAGCAACAGGACCGAGAGAATTGTGCTATGAAAGGAAAACACAAAGTAGGTTTGTCTTTTAAGCAAAATACTTTAAACCACCCAAAAAGTTTAGGAGGTCATGATGGATGCTGTTTTAGAACTGCTAATTAGCTAATTAATCTCTTCGTTGCAGCAAAAAATCTGAATTTGGGGGTAAACAGAATAGAGGGGCAAGTGGAACGCTGCACGGTCCTTTTCAGACTGATTTTTGATCTGACGCGCCGCAGCAAAATCGAAAAGTGCAAATTAATATTCTTAAGAAATGAGTTGCACTTGATCAGATTCATAGAAAGAGAGATTTCATTTGCACTGAAATTGTAAGTGCTTTGTTAGGCCCCCCCCCATTGTTTTTCCCCTCCTTATTTCCAGCTCACTGAGCACATGTTTCAAAAGTAATATTTGCTAGTGAATAGCGATGTGAGCCATTCTCTCTTCTTCTTTATTTTCTTCTTCTTCTTTTAATTTAATTTTCTTTTTAGGATGAATGCCATAATTTTATTAAAGTCTTCGTCCCCAGGAACGATGAGATGGTGTTTGTCTGTGGAACGAATGCTTTTAATCCTATGTGCCGTTACTATCGGGTAAGGACCAACGCCCAGACCAGTCAGATTGTTCTCTGCCAAAATTCAAAGGGCATCTTGGTGAACTTCAAAGAACCTTTATCAATGTTACCATTGTCCTTCTCATCCTGGTTTGTCTCTGGAGAGATCAGACTGTAAGTGTCCCGTCATTTTTTCCATGGCCAACTCCTTTATTCTCACAACAATCCTGCTGGTTAGATTACAGCAAAAGAAATGTGAACCAACTCACAACTCAACCATCTACTGAGCTCCGTAGCTGACAACTAGTTGGAGATGAGAAATTAAATCTCCCTAGTCCTTGTCCAGTTTTCTAACCACACTATAGTATAAAATCTTGATTTAACAGAGCATTCAGGAGAAGCAGTTCTGCTAAATCCAAAACTTACCCATCGCCAGACATGACAGTTATATATTGGATCTCTGATGATTTAAAGGACCTGATCTCTCAGTTCCCATCTTGTCCCAAAGTCCATCCATAAGTTGTCATCACAGCTTGCGGATTCTTTCAAATGAACATAAGAGCCAGCAGCCAATGTAGTCCAAAGGTTTTCATTCTTAAGATGATTGAAAAGGTGATCACAATAAGACACGCGTTTTAATACAGTCAGCCTTTCCCAGTACAGCTAATTTATTAATTTTGAACCTCAAGGAAGCATCTATCGATCACGGATGCTAACCTTGTGGATGCAAAAACTGTTCCCCACGTAGTTCCTTCAGCAATACGTTGTCAGCGCTATAGGAAGAGAGGCGATCAGATTTAGAACAACGGTTCTCAACCTATGGGTCGCGACCCCATTTGGGGTCGATCGACCATTTCACGGGGGTCGCCAAGCAAGGCTGTCTGCCATTTTTCCCCCCTTTTCCAGTGGGTGCCTTACCTCCCTTGAGCTGGGCCAGCTGGTGGTCAGCCTGCTCCGTCTCTGCCGCTTGCCAGCTACGCCTCGGCCGGCGCAGGGGGCGGAACCATGCATGCGCGGCGCTCCCGGGCAGGGAAAGTCCTCGACTTATGACCAGTTGGGTAATCCTCGACCTACGACCAGTTTAGTCCTCGACTTAAGTCCGGTTTAGTCCTCGACTTACGACCGGTTGGGGTCGTGGCATTAAAAAGGTTGAGAACCACTGATTTAGAAAGATCAATGAAGCTGCAGGCTAGCCTTTTCAGTTTGGTTCCCTTCAGATGTGCTGGATTTTGACCATGCTGGTTAGAAGCTATGGAAGATGAAGTCTCACATATCTAGAAGGTACCACTCTGAAGAAGGCTGGTGTGGGAATACCTGGTTTTGTTGACCAGTTGCACGGACCTGGGGAAGCTGAGATAGCCTAACCCCCAAAATGTATATTTTGTCTTCAGCTGAATACCTTGGAGTATGATGGTGAAGAAATTAGTGGCTTGGCCAGGTGCCCATTTGATGCCAAGCAAACCAATGTTGCCCTCTTTGCTGGTGAGAACTTTTTGCTTATAATGGACCATATTGATAGATAATACAGAAAGGGGAAATGAAAAGGCCTAGGGCATCACTGCGTCTCGGCAGAGGTGGTTTTTTTTTAAAATGCTAATATACCTTTTGTGGAATGAGACACTTCTTTTGTAAGCCAGCTCTTGATTCGTTCATCTGTTTTGCTTGATACTCAGATTCTAAGAGCTGTCAACCAGAGTGAAATCCAAAAGACCTATAGTTCAGATTTTAAAAAAGACCGACTAGTCTTTCTTAATTAACTTCAGACATCTGAATGAAGGGGTGGTGGGGGGGAGAGACACATTTTCCTACTTCTGTTGTGAAACCCTTGGAAGTCAGAGCTTTATGTGAGAAGTGGCCACGGGGTAATAATAATAAAGCTTCCGCATTTCCAAAAACCTTTGCTCTGTTCTACCAGGCGTTTTCTTCCCAGCGCTCTGATGAGCCTTCCGACTCTAAATTAAAAAGTATGAATAAATATATAACGTGATTGAGATAATGGCAGCGTGGGAGGGGGAAAGCGAAAGGTAGAAATATATAAATAGCTGTTGACGGAGAAGACGACAAGAACGCTGCAGTATTGGAAGGAGGCGACATCCTATGGCAACCCGAACGGTCTTTGTGCGTTTCTTTTCTAGATGGCAAACTCTATTCTGCCACCGTGGCGGATTTCTTGGCAAGCGACGCCGTTATTTACCGGAGCATGGGGGACGGTTCGGCCTTGCGAACAATAAAATATGATTCCAAGTGGATAAAAGGTACTTCTGCTGAAAGTTGAACCGCTACCTGCAATTTTCCTCTCTCCCCTATAGCCTTTCTCCCCAAATTTATAGAGTTGAAGTACACGTATCCGGATCATAATGATTTTCCCGACAAGTCACTTTTCTTTTGAGTATTGAAATTTTAGTCCATTGTTCACAGACGTCCTAAACTGGAAGCTTGCTTTTTGGATTAATAAAATGGGGAGGTATGTTTGCTCCTTTCTCCCTCCCCGAAAAATCTGGGTTCTCCTTACCCCTTGTGGGCCACTTAGCAATCAACAGCTCTCCGACAACCTGCCAAGAACAACTATTCTAATTTCCTACCCTCCAACCAGCAGGCAGAGATGGTTTGATTCAGAAAAACTGTTGGCGTTTTAGCCTGTTTCTTTGCAGAAACCTAGGTTTTTAACCGCTAGGGTTTGAAATGAATTTCTTTATTTTCGTGTCTGAATTGTGCTCCAAATGGATATATTAGGTTTTAATTTGTATTCCATGACTTTAAAAAAAACAAAACCTGTGCTTTGGAGTTTTGCTTCTAGAGTCTAGAGAATTGTAAATCTCTAATACTGTCACAGCCTTTATATTTTTTTTATAGGGAGATATATGTTAATGTTACCTCTTTCTACTGCTCCCATCTTTTTTACAAGATTTTTTGAAGAAGAGGGCTGAAAAAAATACAGTAAGCTGTGGAGACCCATATTGTTTCACTGTTAGCCAACTTGGAAAACGTATTTGGCAAAAAAAAAAAAATAGGATGTGGATTAAGTAAATAAGACAATTGTTTTATGGGTCAGCTCTAAGTGCTTATGCCTTTCCAGTTTTGGAGGTTTTCAAATTCAGAAACTCCCAAAGAATCACTGTTTAAAGCAATGTTTTTCAATCCTGGCAACTTTACGAAGTGTGGACTTCAACTCCCAGAATTCCCCAGCCAGTATGCTGGGAAACAATTACTGGCATGCTGGCTGGGGAATTCTGGGAATTGAAGTCCACACATATCTTGAAGTTGCCATGGTTGAAAAAACACCGGTTTGACCACCCTACCATGGAATTGACCTCAAACACTTCTGGAGGGTGCCAAGTTGAGGAAAGTTGCTCCAAATTATGGTCAGTCTTAGTGGAAACTAAGCTATGCTTAGTGGAAACAAGCCAGGTTTATAATGATCCGAGTTGACTGGCTTTGGGCAACTGCCTGGGTTCAGATGTAATTAGCATTTTGGCAATTAGCAATCGTTGCATTATCCAGCCCTCGCTGTGGCAGTATAACACAAACAGCTTTTTATTCCCAGAGCTGTGGCTGGGTGATGCTATAAACCAGTAGTGCAGAAATGCTCAATGCTCAGCTGTAGTTTTCCAAACACTCACAACTTCCAAACTTCTCTCAGGAGAGGAGAAGAGTTGCACAGTTCAGTGAAACTTGGTCCCACAGTGATCAACTGTTTTTATTTACTCAGTCAAAATGGAGCCGGTGAGTAGGAATAAGAATTTTAGACTCCGTAGAGCTGTCTTCCCTTGCTAAATCTGGGAGAGTTCCTACTCGGAGCAGTTAGTCACAGAAACATTTATAAGGCACCCTGATCTGTGGTTGCGTACTTTAGAAAGTCTTACCTACAGGTAATCCTTAACTTAGCACCATTTGTTTAGTGACCATTCAAAGTTACGACAGCACTGGGGGAAAAAGTGTCTTGTAACTGTTTTTCACACTTAAGCCTGTTGCAGCATCTCCACGGTCATGTGATCAAAATTCAGATGCTTGGCAACTGACTTGGACTTAAGACGGTTGCAATGTCCCTGGGTCACGTGATCCCCTTTTGTGACCTTCTGACAAGCAATGTCAATAGGGGGAAGCCAGATTCACTTAACAACTGTGTCACTAACTTAACGACTGCAGCAATTCGTTTAAAAACGGTGGCAGGAAAATGGGGCAAAACTAACTTAACAGCTGTCTTGCATAACAACAGAAATTTGGGGCTCAGTTGTGGTCGTAAGTTGAGGACTCCCTGCAATTAATCCATTATGGTACATTAGCAAATGTACCCGGGAATAATTTCTTTTATTTCCCCACCCATCCTTTTTTTAAAAAAATGTTAATTGTAGATTTAAATGTCTCCAAATTGTACATTGCATTGTAACCCGTGAGAACTAGAAGCAAAAAAAATAATAATAATTTATTTTAAAATGACAACAGCCAGAATTCCTATACACAGTTATCTGGAAGCTCCTGTATATTCAGTGAGGATAAATCTCCTGATCGAATCTGCACAGGATCATTCTATTAGTCTTGTATAATGCGGAAAACATAGTAAATCAAATGAATGCACATTTTTCTCCACGAGAGCAATATTTTATTTTTATTTTTTTTAGCAGGCCTGATGCTAACCATTTTTCTTGCCAGTCCCAATGTCTTGGTGCACTGACATGAAAGATCCACCAGCTGCAATATTTATGCCCAGGCTTTTCTGCTCCAAACTTCCAACATAGTAAATCCAAAGTAGGAAACCTACTTTTTTTTTTTTTTTTAATTTGGCCCAAGAATAAAGCCATTCTCCTCTTCCAACCAATCGGCTCAGCAAATGAATGGAGCAGTAGTAACAAAGACCGTGGAGCTGTAGTGCAGTTCCATGGGGGCCTTTTTACAGTCCATTAGCTGGCATTAAGAGTCTTACAGTTTCACTGGAGCTTGACTTCATCCATAGTCGGATGCCCTAAAGTGCCTTGAATAACCACAGCAAAGTTCTTGGCATCCACATCTTTTGAAGCATCAACACAACTGTGTTTGTGCTATCAGAAAGGCGCTAACAAATAGAAAGAGTCCTACCGAAACTAATTGAAGGCTTAGTTGGTCTCTTCACACACGAGTTGATGGCCTCTGGGAAGCCACCAGACAAATAAGATACTGAAAGCCACCAGACAAATAAGATACTCATTTCCAGCAACTGGTACAGAAAGATGTTCTACCTCTGGTTCTGAAGGACAGCCATAACCACCATTATCTAGCAGATGCGAATAATCTTCTCCTCCAGAAGTTATTTTCAATTCACTTTTGAGACCTTCTAAATGGGGCGTTTATCATTGTAAGTTCCCTACTTCTAATGGAGAAATGTCTCTTAGCTAACTGAACATTTCCATGCCTTGCCCAAGGAGATGTGAAGGATCGCAAATCCTACTCCTTGAGTTTTCTGTGTGCCAATTAGGCAAGGGCAGACACTTAATCCCCAAATATATGAATGGCATCCTCCAAATTCCTGGTTCAGTCCCTTTCATTTCCCATAAAAAATGGTTTGGGGTACCAAATACTGAACCAAGCAAAACAGCAGCAGTAAACTAGATAAACCAATAATTGGATTCTCGGTTCCTGATTCCATTAGTCTGATGAGCTAAATATAGGCTATTCATCAACTGGTAGCAGATGACCAAGGATCACCTAAGGACTTTTTTCAACTGTATCCAAAAATGATGGAGACTGAATCTAAGCATGTAACTTTCTCCATCCACTCTGTCATTTCAGGCCTACAAGGTACCCCAGATCAAGAATTAACTCCACAGGAAAACTATACCTATACTTTATTGAGGCTGTAGTAACAAGTATCTTGCAAGTCTGTGTGCGCTTTACCTTCTGCTTTAGCTATATTTTCCTGGGTTTAGAGAGGGGGTTTCATTGAAGGAAGGAGACTGTATGAAGTTAGCCTCTTTTAAGGCTTATAAGGCAGTTTTGTCTCTTTCCCATCTCTTAAAAATAATGAATAATTTAAAGTAGCAAAAAAGAAGAAGCAAAAAAGATGAAAATCACAAGTAAACAAAATGAACAGGCACCATAATATTAAGTAAATTAAGTAAAATTCTCATTGTAAAGCTGGTGACAGCCGAGCCAATTATCTTTAGAGTTTTCCCAGAATAAGTAAGAAGGGAGGGAGGGAGGAGGGAAGGAAGGAAGGAAGGAAGGAAGGAAGGAAAGAAGGAAGGAAGGAAGGAAGGAAGGAAGGAAGGAAGGAAGGAAGGAAGGAAGGAAGGAAGGAAGGAAGGAACCCAGCAGAGAGGACACAGAAGAAACATCGCCATCCCTTCCTAAGACCAGTAGTAAATTTAATCAGAATAATTCAACGTATGTTTTTTTTTTAACTGTCCATGAGCAAAAATTTTTGACTGCTCTCCTTTTCCTTGCGTCTTTCAGAGCCCCATTTCCTTCATGCCATCGAGTACGGGAACTTTGTTTATTTCTTCTTTCGAGAGATTGCTGTGGAACATAACAATTTAGGCAAGGTAAGAGTAAACGCAGCTGCTTGTTACGATAAGTGGCACAGAGTCTCCGAGTGGTTTCTTGAGGGCGAAAACAAGAGGCTTACAAAGGCGTGGCCCGTTCTTCATTTGTTTCTACAAGTGTGGTATTTTCATACTTTGGCTTGCTGAAGGAGGCTGTGGAATGTCCCTCTTTCTTCTTGCTTTTTCTCTTTCGGTTGTGCTGCCTTGCTGTCAAACCAAGGCCACACATTCAGTTATGTTTTATTGTGGCTGAAAAACTAAGTAGGACCCCCACAGTCATGGGTGGTAGCCTTTCTCCTCTTCGCTTTGTCTCCCTCAAAAGTCACATGTGTTGTTTGTTTTGTCTTCTCTGTTGTTTTTCTTTAACACACACGCACAATATAATACAACAATAGCATGATTCATATTCAAATTAAAACAGAAACCCTCTTTTTTTTGTAAAACAAATAGTTTTGATGCCATTTGCAGTTAATTGTTAAGTTTAAGAGTCAGTCTGATCTACTGCAGGGGTGAAGGCACCAAGCTAAAAAGCAGGAGAATGTGAGTTCTAGTCCCATCTTAGATACCAAGCCAGCTGAGTGAGCTTGGGCCAGTCACTCTCTCAGCCCCAGGAAGGAGGCAATGGCAAACCACTTCCAAAATCTTGCCAAGAAAACTGCAGGGACGTGTCCAGGCAGTTGCCAGGAATCAACAATAACTCAAAAGGGGCCAATCAAACCAACCAGCCAACAAACAAATAACTTTGGATGTAAAATTTAAACAAACTTGTTCGTAGCAGCATTGACATTTCAATCATAAGTAACACTGATATAAGCCTCTTATTTTTATGCTTAAGGGTCTAAGTTATCTGTCGACTAGTATCTAGTCAAAAATAAGAAGAAAAAAATGCATCAGAAAAGGCTAAAATGGGGCTTTGCTACTCATCTTCTTTGTGAACTACACATTTAGTTCATCCCCATCCAGCATTGGCATGTGGAATTTATTATGTTATATTACCTAAACAGCATAAATAAGTAGCATAAGTACCTAAGTAGCATAAATGAACAGTATAAATGCTACTGTGTTGAAATCATATAATGTACTACCGTACTTATATCTTATAATAATACTATTAAAAGTTTTGTTTTGTTTTTTAAAAAGTCACATTCTCCAAGAGACATCTTCTAAATTCCACATGCCGATGCTAGATGGGGATGAGCTAAATGTTCAGAAGGGAAGATGAGGAGCAAAGCCCGTTTTAGCATTTTCTGATCCGTTTTTTTCTTCTTATTATTTTTCACCTTCTTGTCCTTTTACTCTTTTCTCCCAAGAAGCAGGCCGTAAGGAAGAGAGCATAAATAGGTTTTACACTGGTTTGACCCTTTACAACAAAGGCTGTGAAATTAAGCCGAGAGAGAAAACTGGAGGTTACTCTAAACAAAAAGACAGATGTACATGATTGTAGCATTCAACTTTTGGCAATTTTTTTCTCTTTAAAATAATAATAATAATAATAATAATAATAATAATAATAATAATAATAATAATAATAATAATAATAATAATAATAATAATAATAATAATAATAATATAGTAAAGTTGGAAGGGACCTTGAAGGTCATCTAGTCCAACCCCCTGCTGAGGCAGGAAACCCTATACCATTTCAGACAAATAGCTGTCCAGTTTCTTCTTAAAAACTTCCAGTGTTGGAGCATTCACCGCTTCTGGAGGCAGGTTGTTCCACTGGTTAATTGTTCTCACTGTCAGGAAGTTTCTCCTTAGTTCCAGGTTGCTTCTCTCCTTGATCAGTTTCCACCCGTTGCTTCTTGTCCTGCCTTCAGGCGCTTTGGAAAATAGCTTGGCTCCCTCTTCTTTGGGGCAGCCCCTGAGATATTGGAACACTGCTATCGTGTCCCCCCTCGTCCTTCTCTTCGTTAAACTAGACATACCCAATTCCAGCAACCGTTCCTTATATGTTTTAGCCTCCAGTCCCCTAATCATCCTTGAACTTGTAGTATGGACCACATACTTTCATGCCGACACTGCTTTGTTTCATAGTTTGGGGAAGTTAGATCTCCTCCAGAGGAATAATTTGGCCTAGGACATCCTTGTTGCTGACTAAATTTAATCCTGGGTTGGGAGACTTCAACAAAGTACGTGACACTTGCCTTTCTGTTCTCTTGAATGTTGTCCATTTTTATGGCGGCCCTGGTCTTCAGGGCTCAGGGAAGCGTGAACAAGCCCTCCTCCTAAGTCTCAGAACAGCCCTATCTATTTATTTTTATATTGTTATAATCTCATCAGAGCAGACTCTGGGCGGTTAACTTCGTAAGGCATAAAAACCATCATAAAATGTGGCAATCAAGACTAAGTACGAAACCTCATAAAATAACCATAACAATCTTAGCAGACCAAAATCAAAACAGATCCTGTCCATTATTCCCCTAAATCCCTCCCAAATACTTCCATCTTAACTAAGTTTTTCAATTACCAGCAGAATATAATGTGGATAACAATCAAGGTAAGATGCATGGCTGAGCGGAGCTAGAGATGTAAATCTCGTTGCTTTGAGGCCATTATTCTTGCTACTTTGCTAAATGGCCTGTTCCTTTATTGCCTCTTCCCTCCCTCTTCCTTCTCTGCATGTTGCTCTGGGGGGGTCTCACCAGGCTTGTATGTATGCGTGGACACGTCAGAACTTTAAAAGCCCAAAACTTTGTTCAACTAAGGAGGATCACAAGTTGTGGTGGTGCAGTGGTTAGAATGCAGCACTGCAGGCTACTTCTGCTGACTGCCGGCTGCCTGCAGTTTGGCAGTTTGATTCTCACCGGCTCAAGGTTGACTTAGCCTTCCATCCTTCCTAGGTCAGTAAAATGAGGACCCAGATTGTTAGGGGCAATAAGTTGACTCTGTAAACCGCTTAGAGAGGGCTGTTAAGCACTGTGAAGCGGTATATAAGTCTAAGTGCCATTGTTATTAAGAGCTGTGGTGGCCCAGTGGTTAGAATGCAGCATTGCAGGCTGACTCCACCCACAGCCAGGAGTTCAATTCTGACCGGTTCAAGGTTGATTCAGCCCTTCTTCCTTCCGAGGTGGGTAAAATGAGGACCCAGATTGTTGGGGGCAAAATGCTGACTCTGTAAACCACTTGGAGAGGGCTGTAAAGCATTGTGAAGTGGTATATAAGTCTAAATGCTATTGCTATTGCTATCATTCTGAGTCCAACCTAACATTGAGGACAGGAAGACCTAGATCAAACTAACATTATTTTCTTTTTTAAAAAAGATGCATTACTACAACATTGGTTCCCAATGTATTAATAAGTATTCAATTAAGGGGATAATTTGTGTATATCTGTTATTGTTGTGAGGGGAGTTGATGCACCTTTTTCTTTTTTTATGTTTTGATTATTTTGTGTTTTTTGTCTTTTAGGGGAGTTTTGTATTTTGTATTTTAACTTTGTCTTGAATTAAAAATAAAGAAACAAAAGTTATAACCATTAGTATACTTCTTTAACCACTTCTTTTCTTCTCTGTTCAAAAACTGGAGAAGTGCAAAGATACTTTGTCTAGGTGCTACCTGGTTGCTAATCTATGATCAAGCCTTGCTTCCTTTATTTTTATTTATTTAGTTGTGTGTTGATTTATCCATCTCAACCATTGATTCTGGACTTTATTTCTGTGGACTTGGAATAGGACAGAGTTGCATCAATGAAGCTTGAAAACATATGTTTCTTGAGGGCATATGTGTCTCTCTCTCTCACACACAAACAAAAAAAACTTAGTTGTGGCCCTCAGAGCCTCTCCAAAAATTGTTGGCAATTTGTAATCTTGAATATGTCAGAAGAGGTAAACACAATGAATTAGAATTAAAACAAATATAATGTTTATCTCAGCCACATTAACCTGTCGGAATGTAGCTGGAATTCCACTCAAAGCCAAGGACATTGTGGTACCCTCCAGCATAAACACTCCAAAATCAGTTTCATCAACAAAGTGATAGATAGATAGATAGATAGATAGATAGATAGATAGATAGATAGATAGATAGATAGATAGATAGATAGATAGATAGATAGATAGATAGATAGATAGAGAAAGAAAGAAAGAAAGAAAGAAAGAAAGAAAGAAAGAAAGAAAGAAAGAAAGAAAGAAAGAAAGAAAGAAAGAAAGAAAGAAAGAAAGAACAGATCAGTGAAATACTCCTGATCCAATCCAAATCAAATCCCAAAGTTGCTTTTTCCAAAAAGCAACTGGACTTTTCTTGGGGTTTTTTTTTTCCTTTGAAAACGTTTTGCTTCTCACCCAAGAAGCTTCTTCAGTTCTCCGTAGACAAATTCAAATCAAGCCATTTCAGATCTGATTTGGTTCAAATATCCAAACAGGATTTTTGTGGGATGAGGTGGATTTAGTGTGGTTTTCCAAACCCGTCTCAAATTAACACATGTTTCTTTTCAGGAGTAGAAGCCTTCAAGTCATCTGATTTGACAATCCAATTTGACTTTTTTGATTTGAGTTGGAGAATCAGTTCAATTGAGAGATTCACTCAATCAGTGGTGGGATTCAAATATGTGAACAACCGGTTCTCTGCGTGGATGCCGCTTCCGGAAGTCCGTTCTGAGCCTGGGCCACAAAAAATTAGCTACCGGTTCTGCCAAACTGGTGCGAACCGGCTGAATCCCACCACTGCACTCAATTCTCTTTGAACCAACTCTGCAAATCAAAGCTTTGCCTAGCTCTTATCTCTTTGTCCATCGACTTGTCTCTCTTAATGAAGGCTTTTGTGGTTGTTTGTGCTCTTCTCCTTCAGGCTGTGTATTCCCGTGTGGCTCGCATCTGCAAAAATGACATGGGGGGCTCTCAGAGAGTGCTGGAAAAACACTGGACGTCGTTCCTCAAAGCACGTCTCAACTGCTCGGTGCCTGGGGATTCATTTTTCTACTTTGATGTGCTTCAGTCTATCACAGACATCATTGAAATCAGTGGCGTCCCTACCGTGGTCGGTGTTTTCACCACACAGCTGAACAGGTGAGAGAGGAACAACCCTACATCAAAAAGGAAATCCCGCCATTCACTCTTGGCACTAACCACACAGCCCAGCTTTTCTGACCGTCTCTTTTGTGCCTCTTTGGCAGCATCCCTGGCTCAGCAGTTTGTGCTTTCAACATGGAAGACATTGAGAAAGTCTTCAAAGGGAGATTTAAAGAGCAGAAAACCCCAGACTCTGTTTGGACAGCTGTACCCGAAGACAAAGTGCCAAGGCCAAGGTAAAATATTTGTATACGTGGGCTGCGCAAAGCTTCACGGGAGTGATTTGATTCAAAGGAGTTCTGATTACACAGAATTGCACCCTTGGATAGAAGACAGTGATCTCAAAGCAGCTTATCAAGGCATCAGCCCCACTTTTAGAGACTGTGAAGTATGGTGCCTCCAGGGTTTTGCATTAAGCAGATAACTTTGTTCTGCAGCTTGAAGTTCACCCGGAATCCTATAATGTCACAACTACCGAAAACTGGAAAAGTTCTGTTCAGCAGTAGGAATTCACCACATCTTGGATAGGCAGAACAATTTGACTAGAGTGTAGACAGAGAACCAGACACCCAGAATAACAGAGTTGGAAGGGACCTTGGAGGTCTTCTAGTCCAGTTCCCTGCTCAAGCAGGAGACCCTATATTATTCCAGACAGGTAGCTGTCCAGTCTCTTCTCAAAATAAGATAAGATAATCTTTATTGTCATTCGTTACTGTGGGCACACTGGCACACATTAAAAATGAAATTCTGTTGCCAGCTCTCAAAAGTGTACATATATATAACACACATAGAAACGTGTTGTATATACATATGTATATATTTACACCCTTACATATAAATATGTTGTTGTTCTTAATTGTTAATTAAGTGTCCGACCCATTGCAACCCCATGGACAATGTTCCTCCAGGTCTTCCTGTCCTCTACCATCTTCTGGAGTCCATTGAAGCTCACGCCTACTGCTTCAGTGACTCCATCCAGCCACCTCATTCTCTGTCGTCCCCTTCTTCTCTTGCCCTCCATCTTTCCCAGCATCAGGCTCTTCTCCAGTGAGTCCTTCCTTCATTAGGTGGCCAAAGTACTTGAGTTTCAACTTCAAGATCTGGCCTTCTAAAGAGCAGTCGGGGTTGATCTCTTCTAGGAGTGACCGGTTTGATTGCCTTGCAGTCCAGGGGACTCGCAGGAGTCTTCTCCAGCACCATCGTTCGAAGGCCTCAATTCTTTGGCGCTCAGCCTTTCTTATGGTCCAACTTTCACAGCCATACATTGCAACTGGGAAAACCCCGGGAAAACCCAATTCCCAATTGCAATGGAAAACCCATATAAATATATACAAATATTAATCACTGTCCATCTTTAAGACATAGCAGAAAGAGGAAGCTTGCGAGCTCACAAGGTTGATACTGTATGGAATGAAAATGGTGACTGAATCTGGATATTCTGCTTTGGATAGTAGGGGAACATCCAGATTCAGTCACAGTTTTGTTCCATACAGTGTCAATTTTGTGGGGGAAAAAAGCCTCCAGTGATGGAGCTTTTGCCACCTGCAACTTCTGGAGGCAAGCCGTTTCACCGGTTAATTGTTCTAACTGTTAGGAAATTTCTCCCTCTAAAGAAGTGTGTTTTTTCGGTTGCCGGAAATATAAAAACAGAAGAGAGAGGGAATGCAAAAATCAGGCAAGGGTCTTGAGAGTCTTATTTTGTTCTTCTCCTTCTGGTCAATGAAGCCGTGCAAACCTTGGGATAAGATCTCAGAGGTCTTTCCACAAGATGAACATCAAAGGTGAGACCTCTGTTGTAGGATCGATATTGGGGATTTGACCTGCTCTACCTCTTAAGAAATTTTCCAGGAATTTGTACCCAACCAGGTACTATTCCGAAGGCTACCTTAGTGAGAGTGTGCAAAACCACTCGTTCTAAAGTTGAAAAAAGGCAAGCAACACTTTAGATCACTCTGGTTTCATACAGCAGGTTTTGCCCTAAATCCTAACAAATCACTGTTCCAACAAATTAACTGTATTATGATTTAACATGATGGTCTCATTCGCACAACTGGCTGAGGCAAGGGCTGACTTCCCAAAATACTAGCAATTAAAAAATTACTAACTACTCAGCCATCTTTATGCTTAAGTGTGTTGTGCAAATACAGCAGCGATGGATTGAAAGAATTTGAGTCCCGACAAAGAATTTGTCTGACGACTTGCTTCAAACCCTTTCTAAAAATGATTCTAGAGTAGCCGTTTTCCTTCGCACCCTGATTTTTTTTGTGTGTGTGTTCCCCTTCAGTCTTTTTTGCTATTTTTACTTTTATTTAAAAATTGTTGCTTTCCTTTCAGACCTGGTTGCTGTGCAAAGCATGGCCCAGCAGAGGCTTACAAAACCTCCATTGATTTCCCAGATGAAACGCTTTCTTTCATCAAGTCCCATCCTTTGATGGATTCCGCTGTTCCATCTGTCATTGAGGAGCCGTGGTTCACAAAGACACGAGTCAGGTAAGAGGCCTGGCGGAGACACCAGGCCAAGGAGCAACAGTTCTAAAATAGAATCCGACTCTAACCACAGGGACAGAACCACCTCTGTGCAGACTTGAAAGGAGGCATAAAGTTGAATTTTGCAGATTATCTTGCTAAAGATAGGATTGTGATCACCCGCTGTGGAAGAAAAAGGGAGCTGGGTATACCCGAAGAATTTTCAGAAATCTTGTTAAGAAGTCTGGATCTTGTGCCGTCCATCTATAGCAGGGGTGTCAAACTGCCGGCCCACGGGCTGGACGCATCACACAGAAGCCACGCCCACCCCATTGCCAGCAATGGCAAAACTGTCCCGATATGTTGCGCGATGTCACGTGACGTCGCAAGTTTGCCATGTCTGATCTATAGTCACAGATATTTGCAACTTGTTCCCTGGCCTGCCATCTTAGTAAGACCTTGAGAAGAAGCCCACGTTAGCTCCCCACCACAGTGGGATTGGTTCTCTCTATGCTTGGTTGCTTTCTCGCAGATGTTTCATTACCCAACTACGTAATATCATCAGTGCTAGGTGATGATGCTAGGTAATTGGGTCATGAAACATCTGCAAGAAAAATATGTCAATGAAGGTTCTCAATCATCCAGATAGAGTTGTTTGAAGGTTGAGTCATTGCAATTGGACTAATTTCTGTTGTTAGCTTGAGATGTTTCACTGGCCATTCAGGCACTTCATCAGTCAGAGCATGTCAGTTAAGTAGAGAGACATTGGAATGTACCAACTCTTGCTACACCAACCGAGGGGGTTTCCTCCCCAAAGTGTGTTGCAATATATTGATGAATAATAATCCAGGTAGAGTTGTTTGAAGGTTGAGTCATTCATTGCAACTGGACTAATTTTTCTTCAAACATCTGCAAGAAAACAACCAAGCTCAGAGAGCACCAAAGACTCCACTGTTCAACCCTGAGCTACAAATATTCTCTTCGATGGATACAATGAGATTTTCTTCTCAAATATGGAGGGATTGAAGTGGCACACACGTTGTCATTAAAAGGAGCTGATATAACATCAGCACGTGTTGAAAATTAAGGCATGGTCCTCAGCAAGCAAAAGGAACTTGTTAGTTCTGGTAGCTATCTTAAAAGACGTTAGCTCTGCTGTTCTAGGTTTTATTTCCTGGGTGGTTTTGAAGTTCATGTGTTACTATTTTAAAGTTTTGCTTTTTAAAGTTAATGTATTGTTGTGTGCACTAGTTTGGTATAGTGCAGGGGTAGGCAACCTTGGCTCTTTTATGACTCGTGGACTTCAATACCCAGAATTACTGAGCCACCTGGCTCAGGAATTCTGGGAATTGAAGTCCACGAGTCATAAAAGAGCCAAGGTTGCCTACCCCTGGTATAGTGGTTAAGGGACTGGCCTGGAAACCAGGTAACTGTAAGTTCTAGTTCTGGCTGGGTGATTTTGGGCCAATTGGTCTCACTTAACCCAACTCGCCTCACAGGATTGTTGTTATGAGGAGAATATTAGGAAGAAGAACTAATAGTTATGTTCTTGGATTTCTTATGAAGCAATAAAGCAGGATAAAAATCAAATAAATAAAGATCATGTGTACACTTTCAACTGTATCATAAGTTGGTGTAAAATCTTCTAAGCCAATTTGCAGCTTGGATTTAGTATATCTTAATTATATGTTCCACGTGACCTACCTGAGCTTTAAAATTGGCACTGACAGCTTTCCAGCCCCTCATTAAACAGGGATTGTTGGGCATTAATCAGATTGCTGGATTCTAGGTTGTGTAATTTTCTCCAGGGAACAGAAGGATCAACAACTTCCCCCCTTTCCAATTTAGTATCTCCTGATCTCCAGTTCTAGTTGGTTTCAGGGCTACCATCATGATCTTTTTTATTGTTAGCTGTTATTGTTCTTGTTGCTATAATGTGTCTTTATTGTTCATTGGAAAATGAATAAAAATTATAAATAAGTTTAAAAGCACGTACACTCAAACACAATTGCTCACCTTCCTGTTTCTCACCAGGATTGTACAAGAGGGGAAGGCTGATTAATGCAGGTGACATGAAGAATGGAATTTTATAGTTTATTGAGCATGTTGTTTTTTGCTTTCTTTCCCGCATACAAAATATGCTGTACTCGTGATGAGCAACCTTTATTTGATTAATGATGTGGCTGCTGCTATCAAAACACAGCCTATTCACACCCCATTGGCAAAGGGGGTGATACTTCTCTTTTAAAGCTGTAGAAAGCAAGCTTTTGGAAGGTGACCTTCCTTAAAGAAAATTGCATCTGCCCCAGATAGAATCTGCTCCCCATCATCCTTACAGAGATCTCCCTGAAAATCTCATCACCCCTGCCAAGTGACACTGGACGTGAAGGTGGAGAGAACATACATGGAGCAATTGTGATGATGAGAGATGTCTTGATCTCGACAGGTATCGGTTGACTGCAATTGCCGTGGATCGTTCAGCTGGCCCATATCAAAACTATACAGTCATTTTTGTGGGCTCTGAAGCCGGAATGGTGCTGAAGATCTTGGCGAAGACCAAAGCTTTTTCCCTGAATGACAGTATCTTACTGGAGGAGATTGATGCTTACAATCATGCAAAGTAGGTCTTATTTTATCTATGGAGATGCTCAGTCATCCAGCTCATGGTTGTCCCAAATATGCATTTTCAGGAGACAAGACGTTCTTGTTTTTCCTTTGAAGACATGTTGCTTCTCATCCAAGTGGCTGCTTTTTCAAAGACAGCAAAGTCCACATTTTGGACAGAGAGGATCGCTGGTTTGAAAGAGGGGTCAAAGAGGCCATCTATGTCCAAACTGAACAGCTCTCTCTCAACACAGGGGGAGGACTATGACATCATCTCTCTCCAGTCTACAACACAGTCCTTTCATCAGTTCCAAGAAAGCTCCACACCCATTTGCACCACTCAGGTGACCCTGAAGACACAGATAAACCTCCAAGTGGCCTCAATGACTCTCTAAAAGAATGCAGATGACCAGCAGTCTGCAAGGAGTATATAAATCTTTCCATTCCCCACCATCCAGTCAGAGCTGAAGGAGCTTCTTGGATGAGAAGCAAAATGTCTTCAAAGAAGAACAAGGAAGTCCAGTGGCCTCCTGAAAAAGCATCTTGAGGTCTTATTTTATGAGAACGGCGGCAAAATATTTGATAATGTCCATCTTCTCCGAGTCCCTTTTGCCGTTAACCACTTGATTGAAAAGTGCTTCTCCTTCCTTCCTCCCCACTTCAGTGACATTTCACTCCATCTGTCCTCTCATCCTGTCTAGTGAAGCCCAGTCTTTAAAGAAATGTGTGTTTGCATAATTTAAAAACATAGTTTGTGTTGAGGTGAGCACGTTTCGTTTTCATGTACATATGCAGGGACATGCCCCAGTATATTGCCGATACTCCAGAACCGTGCAGGTATTATCAACATCCTCTTCCTGTCCTCTGATTAAAAATAATCAGAGAAAAAGCTAATGAAGAAAAGCCGATGAAGTCGTTAATAATGATCAAGATGATAATTGCTAATGAAATTCTGAACATTTCACCAGGTCTTCTCTTTTCATCACTTAACAGTTGGCCTTACCTAGAAGTCTAGCTGAGGAAAATTGCTTTCTTGAAGAACATGTTTTGGTGGTTGAAGTCTGGTCGGGGGTGGGTGGGAGGAGCTCCTGGTTTGTCTTAGTTTGGTTTTTGCTTGTTTGTCCCTTCAGTATAAAAATCTCCTCTTCTACCACCCAGGCAACTTGAAGGGAAGAGTTGTAGGAATTGCTCCATCACTTGAATTCTGGAACTCTGCTTGGTTTCTCTGACTATATCAGACTTCCTCAACAGATCATTGTCTTTTGGGCTGGAGGGTACAGCATTGGAGAGGGCTTCCATATGTCTTCTTTCAACTAACTGTGGTCCTCAAAATCCATGTGGGAGAAGTGCTAAAATTTTAACAAGTTGAAAGACAAAGTAAACAATGTCTATGTAGGCTTGAGAGGATAAGCATCGACAACCGGATATCCAAACAGTAAAGATCTCAAAATTCCTGTGTCCCACAGATGTAATGGGGATGGTGAAGAAGACAAAAAAGTCATCTCTCTGCAACTGGACAAAGAGCACCACGTGTTGTTCATTGCGTTCTCCAGCTGCATCATTAGAATTCCTCTCAGCCGTTGTGAGCGTCATGGATCATGTAAAAAGTAAGCCCTCTCTACAACCTCATACTATTGGTTGTGTCAGTGTTCCAAGACAATGGATAACTAATATCTTAACTTGGTGTTGCTTTAGGACTTGCATTGCTTCTCGGGACCCTTACTGTGGCTGGTTGGCCCACGGATCCTGTGGGAGAGTGAGAGCAAGCATGTTGTAAGTAGAGTAATTTTATTTTTGAGTTTTGCATCGCCACACAAAATATTATTAGAATGACTTTTACAATCCTGTAATCCTTTAATTTGGGGTAGAGTCAGAGCAGTTGGATGGAGCTGAGAGTTTACTGGCCGGATGTCCTTCCTGATGCCATGCGGAGTTCACAGCAGATATTTTTTCTTCGTGTCCTAGGAGAGAAACATTTGCCGCTACCTAGGGTTGAACTCTTAACCTTCTGAGTGGGAGGCAGGTGTCTTCACCACTAGGCCACCTTGCTGCTCCCCATTATCAGAACAACATTCTGCCCCATAAAATATTTTAAACGTTAATGTTCTACAACAGGGGTCTTCAAACTTGGCCCTTTTATGACTTGTAGACTTCAACTCCCAGAATTCCTCAGCCAGCATGCCTGGCTGAGGAATTCTGGGAGTTAAAGTCCATAAGTCATAAAAGGGCCAAGTTTGAAGACCCCTGTTCTACAATAAGCTTTTAAGCCCTAAAAAAGCTTCTAGTGAGACTTTTTAAAGACCTATCATTAATTACATTGGATCATCTTTAATTAAGACCCAAACGGTGGGACAGAAACCATCCTTGGAACAGATTTCTCTCCATGGGAACTGTGGCAGGCTCCATTCATGCCTGATTATATTCCTTTCTTTCCTAATTTAAGGCTATTCTTGTTGCTTTTGTACTTTTTTAAGACTCCAGGACACTGTTCATTTTTATGTAATGTTTATGTTTTATTTTGTTGTTCGTGTTTTCATGAAAACAAAGATGACAACACTGGACTAAGTTAGCTCAAGCTTGTATGTGAGCTGAAGACCCGTTTTGGGGGGACAGTTCCAAAGTTTAGGTGGTCCAACATCCAGTTACACACAGTCAGGAGGGAGCTTTGTACATTTAAATCTAGGACATGTGAATAACAATCTTAATTCACATTTGCTTCAGAACAGCCTGTCGTTTAAGACTGTCATTGCCCCAAAACAGTGCCCCCATTCCTGCTCTTTCCCTGACCTTATCTCCATAATTTTCTATCCCATAATTGTGGCCCAGTAAATGATGATGGATGGGGACAGGGCTTCTTTTCTCCAGACTAGAAGTTCTCCATGTCTTCTGTAGTAGACAGAAAGATGTTTTTGTGATGCTGCTTTGTCAAGAAATAATCCAGAAGTCAGAGACTTTGTTCAATAGTTTAACTGTTGGTCATTTGGGTCATGGTTTAATGAGAAAACCCTTAGGGCAAGGGCGAAAAAATAGGAAGAGCAACTGTGAGCTAACACAAAAGGCTTGCTAGAGTTGGCCTGCATTCATTAGCTGTGAACTGTGTGTCAGTGTGCATATTAGGAAGCATAGGAAGCAACCACTCATCTTTGCATGGGTCATGGTCAAGAAGATCACTCAACACAGTATGGATCGTGATCAAGAAGGCCAGCTACGAAACAATTAAATCAATGATCTGCTATTAGAAATGAGGCCTCCCCTTCATTTGATGTCTAACACAGGGGTAGGCAACCTTGGCTCTTTTATGACTCGTGGACTTCAACTCCCAGAATTCCTGAGCCAACCATGCTGAGGGGAAAGGGAGAGGTTTCCAAGCTGAGCCATGCTGGCTCAAGAATTCTGGGAGTTGAAGTCCACGAGTCATAAAAGAGCCAAGGTTGCCTACCCCCTGGGCTAACACATCCCTTTTTGAGTCCAGTGTCCACCTTCTTTCATAAACAGAAAATAAATAAATACAGATACATACATACAGATAGTCCTCGACGTACGACCACAATTGAGCCCAAAATTTCTGTTGCTAAGTGAGACAGTTCTTAATTGAATTTTGCACCATTTTACGGTCTTTCTCGCCACCATTTTTAAGTGAATCACTGCAGTAGTAACACGATTGTTCAGTAAATTTGGCTTCTCCATTGACTTTGCTCAGCAGAAGGTCCATTAAGGAAATCACATGACCCCCAGGACACGGCAACCATCCTACATATGAGTGATTTGCCATGGGGATGGTCTGAATTTTGATCATATGACCATGGGGATGCTGCCAACGGTCATAAGTGTGAAAAACGATCATAAGTCCCTTTTTTTTTGGTGCCGTTGCAAACTTTGAACAGTCCACTTTGTAAGTTGAGGATTATCTATGTGCATACGTACATACAATATTGCAGTTCTTGCATTTCTTTCAGTAATAATGTTGATGATGTCACGGTTATCCTCGGTTTTCCCAACTAATGCTGTTAATTGCAGGTTATCTTTGTTTGTTTCATACAACCACAGCCTTGGAGGGTATGAGCAAGACGTGGAGTACGGCAACACTGCCCACCTGGGGGATTGCCATGGTAAGCTCACCCATCCTGGATGTCCACTGGAGAATGCAGCATGGTTTGGTTTGTGAACCACACAGTGGTGTGGAAGATCATATTAATGGCACTGACCACTTGCCCTCCTTTTTAAAGTGAAAGCTGTTTGATCTTGGGTGGTGGATTTCTTTGACCATATTTTTCCCCCCAACCATCACGCTGGTTCGTGAAGGTCCACAGCCACTTTATGATTATATTGAACCTTTTAAATTTTTTTTTCCTCCTGTTTTTCCCTCCCTTTTGGGTAAGCCAATTGTGTTTTATTTTCTGATTTTCCGTTGCTCAGGCTTTGAAAATCTTTTGCTTTTCCTTTTGGTTACTTTTCACTGATTACGTGTTCCTTTAATTCTTTTAGAAATTTTGCCTACTACAACTACACCAGATTACAAAATATTTGGCGATCCAACATCTGGTTAGTTTTTTCCAATCATTTTTTTCCTTCCCCCCAATTAACGAAGCTTTTCTTTCCTTCAGTTTGAATATTTTCAGCTTTTCTTTCTTTCTTTCTTTCTTTCTTTTCTCTCTCTTTCTCTGACTCTCTCGTTTTTCATTATCTACCGTCCTTTTGGGTGCAGTTGGCAATCTTTCACTTTTTTAATTTATATTTTTGCTCTTCTGCTTTTACTCATATTCTTACTGATGGACAAGATAAAACCAAGTCAGTTTTGGCTCACTCCGTACTTTTCACCTCATATAGCTGCATGTTTAACAGCTCATTATTAATTGAGGTCCTTCTTTTATTCACCCACAAATCTGATCGACATGGATGAGATTTTTCTCGCCTACTCTTTTCACCCTCCACCCAGTCATACATTTTTGAATGCTAACCACCTCCTTGTCATAATTCAATTTATGGATGCCTGCCTGATTCTCCCTTTCTTTATTTTTCCTACGTCTCCCAGTTCCTTTATCGCAAATACGCATTTTCCAAAATGTGTATTTCTGTATTTGAAATGTGTTGATTTCTCCAGTAATAGGAATGTGTTTGTGCTGATAATTATACTTAGCATTATAACTTCAGAAGTTGTACGTTTTTTTTCCCCTTCAGAACAAAAATTGCAGAGAAAATAGGGAAGAGAGTGGGTAAATTGTGAACTTTTGAGCCACTGGGAATGCATTCACACCAGCTCAGATATCAATGATTCTTTTTTTCTGGATTAGTCCTGAATTGCTATTGGGATGATTGACAAGCTGAGCTAATTTATTTAATCAACCATATACAAAGCATCCACTCTAAACATCCCATTTTAAGCATATCTTTGAACTTTTAACACTTATTAAGATGAGAAGCTATGCAGGTTTTAACAAAACGTGTTTCGTTTCGACACTGTAATATCTGATTTGTGTTCAGTGACCAAAATAATCCCATGGCTTGTTAGCCCTACAAGGTAAAGCAAACTCAGGCACAAAATCATGAATATTAAAACTACTTTTATGATAATGGTCTTGCAACATGCTTCCCTCTGGCCTGCCTTTATCCTAAAGAAAACTGTGGGATGGTCAGCCTATTTGCTTCTCAAACTCCATTTCTGCTCTGGGCTCAGATGTCTCTTATCTGTTGCCTCAGCTGCAGCTTTTCCTCCAAGTTATTCTCACTTCCCACTACATGATCATAGATTAGAGGATTATCCCTGGTATGTTGAGATTCTGTTCTAACATGTCTAAATTAATTAAATTCGTGAATATCCCTGCGACCCATCCTCTACCCATATAAAGTCCCCTCAGCTGTTGCAGAAGAGTGTTGGATCAACAATCCGCAGAACACAGAAGCATCACTGCCCAGCTTGCATTTTGATGAGCATCCAAATCCAGCTTTTATCCTGGATGTTTCATATGGAAACACAACAAATGAATGCCCTAAGGAAATGGAATTTATTGCCTCCCTTGGACATGATGCCATCAATTTCAGGGGTCACCGTTTTTTTAGACTGCAAGCCTTGGACTATTTTGAGGCAACTCCCACACAAGCTTACACTAAGCCTGGATAAATTCAGACTCTGACATCTGCTTGGACAACAGTCATGATAGGAAAAGGCTTACCTAGAGGTGCCAGCCGAAGTTGACAGGAGTGAGCCAAAGGGATAGATAAATTAGATTTTGCCTCTTGACGTGATCTGTCCATCTCATTTCAAGCAGTCTAATAAGGCCAATCGGTTATATTGCACTGAACTTTAATTTTAATCTGATTTGGACATTAATTCACAAGAGCAGCATCGTGCTTTATTGTCTGTCCTTTTTCTCATACAGATTCCCAATAAACATCTCCCTCTAAACATTACTTAGCAGCCATTGAGTAAAGCCAGCAGTGGATGAGGGTGTTAAAAAGGAAAGAACAAGAAAAAAAAAGACTGTAATGCACATTAATAAAAAAATCTGTTTGCCACCACAGACATGGCGTTATCCTCAGCTTCCATTACCACAGTGGGAAGTATCCCTGTTATCTCGCCCAAAGTGATTGGTTCCTGGAAACCTAAAGTGACTGGCTCTCGGGAATTTGTAGCTCAAGATGACCCAAACACTTCTGATTACTCTGAACCTTTATCAGGGGTTCCAAAGGGTAAGGCCGAATCAGGGAATCTGTTGCAGTTGAAAGAAAACCTGATACCTTCCAGCCATTTTCAAAGATTCAATCCATAAGCTTGGACCTTGCTCAATGGATATGCAGAGTGTGTGTAGATCAAAGGCAGAGCAACACAGCAGCTAAAAACAGAACCGAAAAGGTGAAATGTGGATCTGAGCGAACAAACGAAGAGATGAGTTTCATAACTCATGTCAACCAACCCCTGTTCTTTCTTCTCTCCATCAGTCAATATTCCAAGGTTTATTGTTGTTTAGTAGCGCCATGCGTGTTTCTATAACAGATCAGTAGAAGCATTACAGATTTTTATGTTAGCATAACATATCTAAAAACAACTGCAGCCTTTTCAGATTTCTGCATGATCTTGAAGTTGTTTGAAGGAGCAGAGGGGTGTTATACATCTTCTAAATCAGGGGGTCTCGCAAACTTGGCAACTTTAAGACTTGTGGACTTCAACGCCCAGAATTCCCCACGGCTGGCTGAGGAATTCTGGGAGTTAAAAGTCCACAAGTCTTAAACTTGTCAAGCTTGGAGATCCCTGTTCTAAATAAGCTGAGGAAGAGAGAAAGACCTACAATTCACCCAACAATGTTGGATGAAATACCTTACATTCTGATCTAAACCCAACCAGAGAATAGAGAGTAGCTATTTTGGAATCACAGTTAAGCAGTACAAGTCAGATAGAATAAGCTTTGCCACAAATGTCCTTTCGGTCACTAGCTTCCCGGGATTACTTTTGACCTCTCTGTCTTGGTCTCAGAACAATCACATTCTGAGATTTGAGGATACGCAACTGGGTTGCTATGAAAGCAAAAGAGGACCAGGGTCTCAATCTGTTCAGTTCCTCTCAGATTTCAACAGAGGTCCAAAGTCACTAAGTCAGTTTCTTCTGTAGGCACATATCTCAATCCAGGCCTCAGTTATCCACTCACCTGAACTGCCTTATGTTTGCACACCTCTCGGTAGATACTGCATATCTGTGCACACTTGTCTCTATTTTCTCCTTGTTGAAATTATCAGAACCTTGTTCGCATTTTAATAGCCCCTGGAACGTATCAGGTTTCTTTTCAAGCCTTCTGACATTCCTTTGCTTCAGGTGTTTTATAGCTTGAGTGTCCTTTGAAATCTTTATCCGGATTTACTCACAGGCTCTCTATCATATATGGTGGCACTCTTTTTTTGCCTGGCCTCTCTGTCCTTATTTCACCCCTTCTTCTGCACAAAGCCATTAAAATCAATAACCCTGAACACATTTAACTCTGGTCAAAAGCCTTGCCTCTAACAAATAATAACAACACTACTACTACTAATGTTCCTCTTCATTTTAAGTTTTCCGCCTGGCGTAGAATAACCGAAGTAGATGCAATTCTTCCCAACTAACATTTTCTTGGCAGGGTGATGTCTGTGGCTCCCTTAAAATAAACAAATAATAAAACTGCTCTCAGAAGAAAAAAAACGTGTAAGTTCCAATAATTGTGTGTTAATTGCAATTATAATTATTCTTCGAGACTAAATGAGATGCATTCTATATTTTAGGAAAAAAACTAATCTAACTATTAATCATCTCTAAAACAGCATGAGATTCCAAACGTGCATTCCTTATTCAAGCAAAAACCATAAAAATATAAAACCTTTCTTTCTTTTTTCTTTTTTTTTTTAATCTGCAGACAACCTAAGAAAAAGTTACAAAACATTGAGTTGGAAGAGAACCATAGCTCTATTGATGCAATGAACAAATTATGCAGTTTTATATATATATATATTTATATATATATATTTGCATAATCCTATCTCATATTTGATTTCTGATTTATGAGTCAGACAGGGAACTGAGAGAGAAAGCTTTCCATGAGTTATTAATTGCAGTCTGGCAGAGTAACACCTTCTAACCTCAATTTCCAGCAGAAATTGTTAAAGTTAATAACATACAAGCTACTATTTGTGAGTCTTAAAAGGAGACTTGGGGACAGAAGGAGAATAGATTGGCAGAATATCGTATTTGGAAAGTTCTCCGAGCTGATTGAACCAGAGTTAGAAGCCACATCTTGTATTCAAAAACAGTGAAGTCTCTAAATGGTTGCCCAAGTCTCTACTTTTGAGAAGTCCTATAGGTAGTTGTGGAAGGAGACCTTCACATCAGCCTTCAATTTTGCTCTGTGCTCCTGCCAGCTAAGAACTGGAGCCATCAGTCATACACCTTCACTACAGTGCTTTGATTCTCTACTTTGGCAGAAGTTCTCCCCAGTGAAGTTAGAGGACTTTGTTGCACTTGTGTCAGAAGCACCAAGGCGCTTATGGGTGGAAAGGATTAGCCAGTGACATCCCCATTGCTCTGGGGACGTCCAGTTGGAGGCTTCCTGGAAGGAGCTGGAGTGAAGGACGAGAGCTCAACTCTGCCCCATGACAGCTCAGACATGGGCTTGCTAACCTCCTGCCCAGGGTTCAAACCACGCAAGCCATTGTGCTCCTTTAGTTAGAGTAGGAGTCCCCAACCCCTGGTCTGTGGATCGGTACCGGGCTGCAGCATGCCAGCAACTGGGCCACACAAACAAGCAAAGCCCCATCTGCAGGATGCAGGCAGCACACAAAACCCTCTGGTCCGCAGAAAACCTTCTCATCATGTAACCGGTCCCTGGTGCCCAAAAGGTTGGGGACCTCTGAGTTAGAGGACTAAGAGCAGAGAAAAGCAGCCACCAGGATGGAAAACAGCTGCTGATGTTTGGATGCCCCTCTGGCACTGTTGTAAGGATAGTAGGTGGTATTAGCACACTCCTGTTGGGTGTTTATAACTAGGTAAGAGTTAGTTCGCATCCCATTAGCTTCAGATAAGTGTCTATAATGAATATGAAATCTGGACTGTGAAGCAGTCATAGAGCAGGAATACTTCTTAGTACAAATATTCTTAGTGAAGAGTAACTCAGAGTATTGGTTTTCCTACTTTGGACATGTATTGTGTCATGTCCACAGTCAGTTTCTGCATACTGGCTAAGAAGAAGAAGCTCAGAAAGAACGTTGCATGGCCACATTGCAGCTTGGAACAAGATGTTAATCTGTGCTATCACTATATAGCATGCCTTTTTGCTGATCTCACAGCCAACTTATGGTTAGTGCAGGACTCCTGAAGAAGTGGAGGCACCAAACTTGGCCAAATGTGCAAAAGTCATGACCTCATTGAAAGATCAGGCACATCATCCCCAAAATTTAGAAGGTTGACCAAGAAGAGGTAGGAATAATAGGGCTGTTCTTCTAAACCATAAGTGCAATTGCACTTTGCTATTCATTTGTTATTGTTGTTAGTTGCGAAGTCGTGTCCGACCCATCGCGACCCCATGGACGTACAGTATTACATTGCAATGTGTATGTGCAACTTCAGCCCAAGAAATATCCACCACACACAAGAATAATAAATCTAGGAATAGCAATGATACTTCTAAAGAATTAGCCTTAGATATGTTCACTTGGCACTTACAAGGGCTGCTTCATATCTCGGACACATTCAGGAATATCAAGTCCCCTCAAAATCCATTCATTTCAGATCATTCCACCATAAACCTGAAGACATGGAAGCTGTGCTAGATCCTGTCCACTTTATGTTTAATCTGGACCGGGGAGGGCTGGACTGAGAAAGAGAAGAGAGATTTTAAGTAGTAAGGATTCACATAGGTGTTTCATAATGCATATAGACCATTAGAATTCAATTAGGGTGCTCCTTGTGGATCACCTCGTCAAGAGTGATGTCATTTCTTGATGCTTCTCAAAAGGGTGTACGTTCAAGACACCAAGTTTTGGTTAGGTGCGCTTAGGATGCAGCCTGAAATAGCAAGCTTTTGTCTCATGATTTTATCATCCAAAGTACCCTCTAACCTGCCCATCATGTGTGTGCTTGTCATAGGTGTGAGATGGGAAGTCCAGTCGGGTGATTCCAACCAAATGGTGCACATGAATGTCCTGATTACCTGTGTCTTTGCGGCTTTCCTTCTGGGAGCATTTATTGCCGGCGTGGCTGTTTACTGTTACCGAGACGTTTTTGTGAGAAAATCCAGGAAGATTCACAAAGATGCTGAGTCAGCTCAGTCCTGCACGGATTCCAGCGGGAGTTTTGCCAAACTGAATGGCCTCTTTGACAGCCCTGTGAAGGAGTATCAGCAGAACATTGATTCGCCCAAACTTTATTCCAACTTGCTGACGAGTCGCAAAGAGCTGCCCCAGACGGCTGATACAAAGTCCATGTTGATGGTGGACCACAGAGCCCAACCACCAGAACTCGCAGCTCTTCCAACCCCGGAATCGACTCCTGTGCTTCAGCAGAAGACCTTACAAGGGATGAAGAGCCAGATGGAGAAGGCCCAGAACAACCTCAGCTCTTCAAGAAAAGAAGGTCCCTTGAAGAGTCCTCAGTTTTTCCCCTCCAGTCCTCCACCCCATTCTCCTTTAAGTCACGGACACATCCCCAGCGCCATTGTCCTTCCCAATGCCACCCACGATTATAACATGTCCTTCTCCAATTCTAACGCGCACAAAGCCGACAAAAAGATGGCGAATGTGGACCACCCGCTCACCAAGTCCTCAGGCAAAAGAGACCCTAGGCGGTCTGTGGATTCCAGAAACACCTTGAATGACTTCCTGAAACATTTAAATGAAACCCCCAGCAACTCCAAAGCCATTATGGCTGACCTTCAGGTGGCTCACCAGACTTTAATGTTGGATTCCATGGGCAACGTGACAGAGGTCCCCCCCAAAGTCCCTAACCGGGAAGCATCTTTGTACTCTCCTCCTTCCACCCTGCCACGAAATAGCCCGACAAAACGGGTGGATGTCCCCAATGCACCTGGAGCACCAATGACCTCTTTAGAAAGACAAAGGGGCTACCACAAGAATTCTTCCCAGAGGCATTCTATATCAGCTCTTCCTAAAAACTTAAACTCCCCGAACGGGATGCTGTTGTCTAGGCAGCCTAGCGTTAACCGGGGAGGATATATGACTCCGACTGGAGGCACAAAGATGGACTACATCCAAGGGACTCCGGTCAGCGTCCATCTACAGCCTTCCTTGTCTAGGCAAAGCAGTTACACAAGCAACGGAACGCTTCCTCGGACAGGGATAAAGAGGATGCCCTCTCTTAAGCCAGATGTGCCACCCAAACCTTCGTTTGCCCCACAGACGCCTTCAGTCAGACCACTGAACAAATACAGTTACTAAAACTTGCCTAATCAATCCATCCAGACCTTGGGGCGATGGTGCAGGACAGATGGAAAGACTCCGACTCGCTTGTCATGGAGGGCATGGGGGGAGGGAACCGAATTTGGGGGCAAACAGGCTCTTTTTGCTCCATCTGCTGGTTTTGTCTGGCCCAAAGCAAGACTCCACTTGCCCAATGCGTTAAAAGAGAGAGGAAGGGCTGGCCACTGCATCTCTTGTGTTGGGAGAGGAGGAGAGACGTAGCACAAAAGGACGGGACTCCGTGGCCACTTCAAAAGAGCTGTTTAGAGTACTTAGGGAGGAAGCAGATCCGCAAACAAACAAACAAACAAAAAATACTTGAAATTAATAATAATTAAAGTGAGAATAAAAAAAAGGGGGGGTTGTTTTTAGGCTGCCATACTGTGTAGTCTTCCCACAAAATGTGAACGTTTTAACTATGTATGCATTTGCCTTGCCTCTTGCACAAATATCCGAAAAAGGAAAAAACGTCTCGATACGTCTGTTGGTTAAGAAGCAGCGGGCTGAACCTCAGCCTCTAGTCCAACTGTAGCATTTTTATTTTTGCCTCCAAAGGATGAACCGTTTGTTTGACGGCACAGGTAAAAGGGGAGGGGTGAGAGAGCGAGGGGGTGGTGCATGCAAGTGTGTGAGGAAGCCTGGAATCCTAGGAGGTGCTCAATTCCATTGTGTTGTCTGGATAGAAATGTTTACATTTGTGAAAGAACAAGAGACCTACCAGCCGCTTCGACTCTGGTACTCTCGCCTTGCAACGATACACTGCAGGTCTCATGCAGCAGGCTTTGCGATACAGGTAGTCCTCGACTTAACGACCACAATTGAGACCCAACATTTCTGTTGCTAAGCGAGACACTTGTTAAATGAGTGTTGCCCCCATTTTACCACCTTTCTTGCCACGGCTGTTAACGTGAATCACTGCCGTTGTGAAGTTAGTAACACAGTTGTCAAGTGAATCTGGCTTCCTCATTGACTTTACTTGCCAGAAGGTCACAAAAGGGGATCACGTGACCCCGGGGCACTGCAACCGTCATAAATACATACCAGTTGCCAAGTGTCCAAATTTTGATCAGATGACCATGGGGATGCTGCAACGGTCATACGTGTGGGAAACGGTGATAAGTCACCTTTTTTTCCAGTGCCATTGTAACTTGAAACGGTCACCAAACGAACTATTGTAAGTTGAGGACTACCTGTATTGATTGTGGCATATGACACAATTAGGTACAATGTGAAACAAGCCAAATCTAGGTACCCAAAGCCAGGCTGCTATAAAGCTAGATATCTAATTTCCAAATGTTGTTTTAATGGGTTTCCGTTGACCCAACCACTGTTTAATTTACTGTCCTTCAAAACATCAAGGGCTGAAGCCATCCCGTATAGGGGTTCTTAATTTCCCCAAATTTCAAACCCATCTTCACAAAGGAAAAAAAAGAGGACATTTGCATGCAGATGTCCAGATTTCTGTTTTGCGAACGCAAAGAGTTGCTTCCTGCAGTGTCCTTCCACCATCTGTCTTAAGCTCATGGGAAGTAAAGGAGAAACACGACTGTTGTCTTTTATGTGTCCAACAACATGTCCTGGGAAAGCCTAACATGAGATACGAAGGTGTGTATGCCATTGGGCTTCTCTGACAATTGCTTACGTCATTGTAAGGAGATTCTTCTCACTTTTAAAGAGCTCTGTTGAACGTATTGAGTATGTTCCTTTCAACACTAAGCCGACATTCCCTAATCTGGTCCTCCAGATGAGCTGGGACTGCAAGTCCCAATAGTCCGACTTGGATTGACTTAGAATTCTGGGAGTTGAGTACAACACATCTAGAGGACACTAGGTTGAGGAAGAGTCACTTGAAGCTGCAAAAAGCAATTGGTAGCTCTCCAGATATTACCAAACTACAAGTCTCAACATCTGTAGGAAGCATGGCCAGATATTCAGTGGTGGGATTCAAATTAGGTGAACAACTGGTTCTCTGTGTGGATGCCGCTTCCGGAAGTCCATTCTGGGCCTGGGCAACAAAAAACTACCGGTTCTGCCAAACTGGTGCGAACTGGCTAAATCCCACCACTGCAAATAGTGAATGGTGAGGGATACTAGAAGTTGTACTTAGTAACATCTAGTTGTCTACTTCTGTATGAAGCTTTGTGGTTTCTTCCCAAGTTTTGAAACTCTACCCTTCCAAGACTTGTGGTAGGAACCAGATGGTTCAAGCAATGCTCTCACTGTTGTAACAGATGTTGGCTTTGGATGTTATGTGAACACACCCAATGTACACTAGGTTCCCAAGTGAGGAAGAATAAATGTGACATTATCCCCATAACACAGCCATCCCCCAATGTCTTAGCAAGATCCATCCATCAAAATTCAACAGAAGCACAGCCCATCTTTTTAGCTTGTGGTTTCTTTGAAGCCATGCCAACAACAACACTATTGTAAATATTCTGTGTGTGACTTTACTCAGATCTGTGCATTTTGTGCCTTATTCACAAGAATGGTTTTTTTTTCCTAAATTGCTCACTACTAAAATCCTGTCAAGTGTTCTCTGTAATAGTACATTGTAAACCCGAGTGCTTTTAAGTTCTCTCTGCAGTGTCCAAAAACATGAAAGGAAAAAGCAGAGGAAAAGGGGATTAATATTTTCTGTGGAACCGTTCATTATCCATGAAAAAGTAATCTACAAGCCAAGGAAATATCAACCTTGCTGTGCTAAACATTCAGTCCTGATTTGCTTAAGAATCAAATTGCAACAATGGGAAATCATAACGAGATTTTTACAACCCACCCAAAGTTGCACATGCTACAGTGTGTGCTTACAGCTGATTGTCATCTCAGATAAGGGTCTTGGTTTGTGTAGGACAGGGGTGTCAAACTGCCAGACCACAGGCAGGACACGTCACGTGGAAGCCGCAGCCACCCCATTGCCGGCAATGGCAAAACCGGCCCGATACGTTGCGCGACGTCATGTGACGTCGCAAGTTTGACATGCCTGGTGTAGGATGTTCCACCATTTGGTTGCTGAAGTCTGTAACCAACCCTTAGTTTACAGGTCAAATACAAAACACCTGTTTGTGTTATAAGTAAAGAAAGTTTTAAAAGGGACCATTCTTTCATATAGACAATTAAACTCGTTTTCCAATCTGTACGTCAAACATTACGTCTCTCCCAAAATACCACAAGTAATTTTTCTAAAAATATCTTCAGTCTCGCAACTAATACCTTTTAATTTTTTTTATAAAAAAAAGGAAATCAAGCAGCAAAAATGTAATTGACGTCACTTTACAATGATTAATGAGTAATACATACTTGTGTAAAACTGAAACATAAATGTTATGTGAACCCAAATAACTTTTCTGTAACATTGTGCTGCCTCGTTAGTGGGTAACGTGAGTCATCTTAGTATTTCTGTTGAAAACCTCTAACATTCGACATAGTCTTTATTCTGTTAATTTATAATTTGTGTTGGGTTTTTTTTTCTTAAAAAATAAACACATGCTTTATCCATTTGTGCAAAGGTAAATGCAGATTGTATCTTTTTTAAATGGTACAGCTTAAAAAAAAAAAGTAACCCGGAAAAAAAAAGGAAAGAAAAACTGCTCTATACAAGCTATAGAGTACGTTAACATGTATAGATATCTTGTAAACTTGTACTGTGGATGTGTAAATAAGACGTCCTTTGGGTTTTTAACACCGCATGTAAAGATAAAATAAACTCTTCAAAAGGAGCAAGCATCTCACATCTCACTTGATTGACAGATGGAAATAGTGGACACCGCCCATCAAGAGCCCCTCTTGGTGGAACACGGGCAGCAATGGAATCTGGACATCCATATGCCATCATTCCCACAAACCTGCAGTGGAAGTGCTCTCCAGGGGCTAACCCATCTGCTGCTGTGAGTAGTCATGGGGAGTGGAGAACTTCAGGCTTAGAAAATCCATCCTACGGGGACCTTGGTGCTCTTTGGGCTTGGTGGTTGTCTTGCAGATGTTTCTGTACCAATCTAGGTAACATCATCAGTGCTAGTTGAACCCTAACCCTAGCACTAATGATGTTACCTAGATCAGGGGTCCCCAATCCAGTTCTGGGCCACAGTGTCATGGTTCCGATAGATGAGACCAGTTAAAAGAACTTCAAAGCAAGGAATTCTTCCTCAGATAACATTTTTATTTGGCTACAAAATATCGGCACGTGCAAAAGTGAACCTAAGACTAAATTCCTCTCCCAGGTTGCAAAGTTGCAATTCCCACCCCAATTAGATGTCATCAATCACATTTACCAATTGTTACTAAACGCGGGCATTCCTCCCAGATCTCCAGTCCACCAAAATGTAATTAGCAATGACCTTGGTTCCCATACCTAAGGATTGTTATGGCTAACTTAAAAACTACGCTTCCCCCTTCCTCCCCTTCTAAATATGTGGCAACCAAAAACGAAGTGAAAATGGCTTCAGTTCACTTTGTTGCAGTGTTGACACACAGCTTGTTTGGAACCAGGCCCCGAAGTAGCAGGCGAGCACGCAGCTCCATTTGAATGAGTGGTGGACACATGTCGATGCTCGCCATTTGTGCAAATGGAGCTGCGCATGCAAGCACCGGGGCCTGCCACTCACTTGGAACCATTTCCTCTCTGCCCCCTGCTGGTCCACAAAGACAGAAAGGGTGGGGATCACTGGCATAGATTAGTAGTGAAATATCTGCAAGAAAACCACCAAGCTCAGAGAGCATCAAGGATTCTACAGTTCAACCCTGGGCCACAAATATTGTCTTCTGTCGGTAAACCCATCCTAGCCAACATGTCATACAATACTACTGTATGACCAATAATGACACAATGCTAGTGTGTTGATCTTTGTAGACTTCCTATTTCTAGAGCATCAGCATGGGCAACTGCATTTACCTCTGTGTCTTTTCACTGTTCATACCTGATGCATAAATAGCACCAAATCAGGGCCCCACGTTTTTCAGGCTATTCACTGTTCTAACGCCTGACAGCCCCATCTCCACAGGAGAACTGAGCCACATGCACCTTACACCTAACCACTGTTTATAGTTGTTAAACAGGGCCCACTTACAAATCTAAGGAGCTGCTAAAATTTAGGCTTTATCTGG